CTGTGATGCATTGAGGGTGACCACATTATCAACAAACCCCAAGCCCAGCCCAAATCCGACCACCACCCACCCACACTAAAGGTACCAAACCGAAAACCAGACTCACTGCCAGGGAGTCTATTCAGACTCATAGCGACCCCTCCTCGGGTTTCTGAGGCGGTATCACTACAGAAGTAGATTGTCCAACCTTCCTTCCCAGGAGTGGCTGGTGGGTTTGAACCTCCAGCCTTCAGGTTAGCAGTCAAATGCCTTAGGCACTATGCCAAAGGTGTGCCCATTTCCAAGCAACAAAACTATTTAACTCAGTGTCTACCATCCTACATAGATGTCTCGCTTTCAAGATTACAAGGCATACAAAAAGCCCAGAAAATAGACACTACACTCTGGAGACAACCAACCTGAACCAGATTCAGATACAAGCAGAGTGCAGACGGTCCCGGGAGACTAGAAGCACCCAGCTCTGACGCTAAATTGTGCAGCAGATAACGGATCCCACCCCGCACGTCAGCTGCACCTGTGGAAATCTCAGTTTCCTTTCATGGTTCAGTTCCAGCTTCAGCTCCCAAGGAGCCCTTGTCTCTAATCCCCAACCAGCTGGGGCTGGGTCAGCGGGTACCGGCTGTACACTTGGGAGTGCACTTGATTCCCTTCACTTTAGACCAGCCATCCTCAAATGTACAGGTTCCTCTCCCCCATCTACCAGCAGCAAGTCCGAGAGTCTAATGGTTCCCTCCACTTCAGCCCAACTGGCTGCCCCTGCTCCTTTGGGTGCAATAATTTGCCGGAATGACTCACAGAGTTCACGGAAAACACCATACTTGCAATAACAGCTTAAATACAAAAAGGATAGAAACGAAGAGATGCCCAGAGTGAGGTGTGGAGGGCTCACAGCGTGAGGCTGCTATGTGCTAAGGGGACGTGGGACTCTCCCAGGATCGCTCTTACCACCCAGGAAGCTCCAGCTGAGCCTCAGAGTTCTGACTGGCTCACCACAGGGTCATGGCCGTGGCAGATTATACCACGTCTCCTGGGGCTCAGTCAGCACTGGGGCCCCATATAGTTCCTCTCCGTCTGGTCTGCCACCACTCATTAGCCTCATGTGTTGGTTTGGCTCAAGAGAACTGAGAACAGAAGGCCAGATTGCTTTCTGCAAGGAGATACCACACCTCACACACTGGTAACGGGACTATCCCACAGCAAATTTAAAATATGTATGTTGAAGGCCCTTTAAGGTAGGCAGCCTACAAGATCAGATAAGTAATTCAGCAGAGAGATGGGAACTGTAAGAAGCCAACAGAAATGCTAGAAGGGAAAACCACGATGAGATAAACTGCTAGAGAGCCTGATCTGCCTTCAACGGGCTCATCAGCAGACGTGAGGCAGCCATGGAAACAGTCAGGAGACCTGCAGGTGGGCCAAAGAAACGACTCAAACGGAAAGACAGACAGACAGACAGGCTGAAGAAGACCACGTAATGCAACACATGATCCTCAGCTGGATCCTGGACCGGGGATGCAAATAGGTATGAGAGTGTTATCCGAACAAGTGGCAAAATTGGAATGTGCCTGTGGACTAGAGAATAGTATTCTATCAATGTCTTATGTCCTGACGTTGTTAACAGTGCTACGGTTAGGCATACTTCCTTGTTCTCAGGAAATATACATGGAAGAATTTAGGGATTAAGGGGCACAATGTTTCCGAGCCACCCTCCATGACTGGGAAAAGAATTCCAGAAAGACCCAATGATGAAGCAGACATGGGAGAACAGAAACAGCTGGTGAGTTGCTGTAAAGGTATACGGGAAGGACTTCTATGTACTTCTGAAATGGCTCTGTAAGTCTGAGATTACATCTAAATGACAAGTTACCAAAAACATAAAAAATCTAGACTGCCAACGTCCCCACCTCCATTGAGAAGGTCCTGTAAAGTGCGGTACACACCAAACACTCAGGGACAAGATTTCTGCACCTTACACAAGCTGATGTGGAAAAGAGTAAGAGGGAATGCTTCTCAACTCATTCCCAGCTAATACAAATGTGACAGAAACACGAGTCAACGAGACTACAGAAAAAGAATGTGACTTTGTAAGAGCGTCAATAATCCTAAATGAAACATCTACAAACCAAATATAAAAGCCATGAAGATGGTTTAACATGAGTCACTTATAATGTAAAAACAGTAAATATACAGATTAACCAAGAACTTATAAATCCCGATAAATGTAGGTAAAGAGAAAATTTGGAATCCACGCTTTCTGGAGTCACGGAGGGCGGATGAAGCTCTGAAAACCATTGTCCTGAGATCACCATTAACTTTAAACCAGCAATATCCCCTCAAGTCTTCTTTAAACCTAATAGTAGTTCAGTTTAATCAGGGAAAAATCCCCGCCTTGAGCCTCATGCTCTTTTAAAGAATCATCCACAGGGGATCAAAATGACAACCAAAAAACTCACTGCCATCAAGCTGATCCCAACTCCTAGCAAAGCCCCTTATGGAAGCACACTGCCCCATCTTCCTTCCGTGGAGCAGCTGGTGAGTTTAGAATCACCAACCTTCTGGTTAGCAGTCAAATGCCTTAGGCACTGAGCTACTAGAGCCCCTTAAAAGAATACATAGGAACTTAAAAGACTACATAGGAAACTTAGAGGGCAGTGAGTTTTTTTGTTAGTTGGGAGAAACAACTCAGAAGAGGAGGGAGAGAACAGCTGTACAACGTGAAGAACATCAGCACTGTCTGAACTATACATGCAGCAATCTGCTCAACTGGGAGATGTTCTGCCATGCACACTCTTAACAACTAAAAAATAGTCATTTTTAAAGTATCAACACAATTTTGTAATGTAAAAATTCCTAGCAAAACACGAATAGATACTGCCTTAACCTTATAAAGGGTATCTTCTAAAAGCCTGTAAAACCAAACCCAACCCACTGCCATCGAGTCAATTTTGACTCACAGCGACCCCCACTGGGTGTCTAACGCGTTAAATCTTTACAAAAGTAGACTGCCTTATCTTCCTTCTGTGGAATGGCTAGTGGGTTTAAACAGCCAACCTTCTGGTTAGCAGTCAAATGCCTTAGGCACTGCGCCACATACAGAGTAGTACATTAATGCTGAAACACTGAAGGTATTCCCACTTAAGTGAGAAAGAGAAGAATGCTCATTACCATCACTAATAATCAATACCGGAAACTTCTGCAAGAAAAGTAACATCTGAAAATAAAAAGGTAAAGAAATAAAAGTTTAAGATATGAAAGAAGAAACTGTCTGAATAGAAAATTTAGGAGAATCTGGAAACTAAAAGAATAAGTGAATTCAGAAAATAGATCCTAAAATTCATAGAAAAGACAAGAGGGCCAAGAACGGCCATGATCATAGTCCAGAATAAGGTAGGGAAGCTGCAATATCAGCTATCAGCATTTATCACAAAGCTGCTGTAAACAAGTGTGGTATCAACACAGAAATGACAAACTGCCAAGGGACAGACTTAGAATGCAGAAAGACTCAAGCATATACGAACACTTGATGTGACAAGTCAGCAGGGCAAGGAGTATTGATCCAAATAACAGAGCTGAGATCCCTGGTTGAAATTAGATCCCTACCTCACACCCTGTATCTGAGATGTCAGTGGACAGTCAATCTGTTTCCTTGCACTCTCCAGTGCAGAGGAGGGCTGGCCAGTGGTGAGGGACTCCTGCACTATCAGCACAATTATGCTGTCAGCCCAGCCAGAGATATGCTGCCAGAGATCCTGACTGACCACTCATGAGAGTAGTCCTCCAGGACACAGAGTTTTGGGACTCAGTGACATAGAGGTGTTAGCTGAAGTCAAGGGATTCAATAAGAAAGGTGCAAATCAAGAGTGGTAGGGAGAGAGAGGACAGCAAAAGAACTGTGACACAGTCGACTGAGACAGAGAAAGCAACGTGACCCTACAAACAAAGGAGAGAGAGAGGGACTGTAGGAGCCAAGGGGAGGTGACCAGTCAAATCAGATGCTCAAGAGATGCCATGACATGTGGCAAGTCCTTCAGTTACCATCTCATTTAATCTCCTAACATCAGTGAGAGATAAGCAGGGCAGAGATTATCTTCTCTACCCCAGGAAACAGTAATGTGGGCTCAGAGCTATCAATCCTCTGTCTACGTCACAGAGCTAAACCACAGCCCAGTGAGGGCTCATCCCTAGCCTTAGTGTCCCCCCTCAGGCTCTTCTTACTCATCCCCAAGGTACCTTCTGCACCCACATAAGAGTAACACGTCAGCCAGGCAAGGCCGCAACTATGACTCTGTTCAAAGCAACATAAGATCAAAGCTCACTCAAGGCTGGTGTGGTAGTTAAGTTGTGTGTCCATTTGGCTAGGCCTGGTTGCATGTGGGCGGGCAGCTGGATGGAGTACTCCCCAGGATAAGACTGGTCATCAGCTGCATGATGGAATCTACTAGAGCAGCTGAGTAGCTGCCTTGGGGATGTGGTCTGCTTCCAGTATATAAGGAGACGCTCTGAGGAAGGTCTCTGTAGCTTTTTGGCACGCTTGGTCCCTACATTTGGCTGAGTCTTCATTCAGCCATCTGCCGTGTTTCCTGCCAGTCTTGGGACTGTCTCTGGTCTTGAACTAGTGGCTTGCCATGTTGTTTGCTAATCTTGGGATCGTGCCATTTTATTTGTCAACCATGGGTCTGTCAGCCTCAGCATCCAGCAGCTGCCTGAGTTAGGAGAAGCCTCCAGCTGCAGCGTGCCAAGGGCAAGAGCTGAAGTCCAAAGTGAGGGGCCTTCACCCAGTTCCTAGAGCTGGCATTTGAAATTGGACTTCTAGCCTCCTAAACTGTAAGAAAATAAATCCCTGTTTGTTAAAGCCATCTCTTTTGTGGTAGTTCTGTTAGAGTGGCACAAGATGACCAAAACGGTTGGCATCAAGGTCCAGAGAAATTCAAAGGCTACGTTTTCACAAGCAGTATCCTTCTTCACAGCTCACCAGAGAAATCAAGGTCAAAGTGGCTTACTTCTTTTACAGAGAAATGAAGACTTCTCATAGCAGTTTTCAGCATGCCAGCTGTGTAGGTCGTGGTGCCTCAGAGTGGGGAAGTGAAAGCACTGCAACTGGGCACACAGCACGTTTTCATCCTCAGCCATGGCAGAGGCAAAGATCGGGTCTGGGGGCAGGAACACCTCTGAGGAACCTGAAGGAGGAGAGAAAAGGGGGGCCCAACATTACAGCATAATACCAACACACACATCATGTCATAGCTTTCAGGGCACCAAAGCCTTAACTAGAACCACCAACCAAAGACACTGGGCCAAGTACGAGTTGTTGCTGCCATTCTGGCATTAGTCATTATTCCCCTACCACCCCTGGAGCCCAGAACTGTGTGGTGAATGCACCAATGCAAGCTTGGGCACCCCAAACAAGCAAAACACTGGGTGATAACTGCTATGCAGAGAGCCACAATAAGGGCTATACTGTGGTTAGCTGGTGGGGTTTAAAGTCAGAGCAATATTTGACTAATAAGGTCACAGACTATAACACATTGGTAAAAAATCCTGAGTTCATATTGATAAAGCAACCAAAGTGGAGAAAAGAGGGGAAAGTCCTCCCTTGCGACAGCAGAACATCAACTCAATGAGGACGACTCAGGAAACCACTTTGCTGCACCTGACGGAGGAACGTAAGATCTTGGCACAAATGCTGCTTCCAACATCTACTGAGAACACTGGGTTGCCGTGGGCCAGAGTGGCCTGCTGGGAAAGCACGAGCTCCCTGGCGGATGCTTTCAGCCACTCATCTTCCTGCCGTCCCAGCCAAGGGCCAGGGCTTGGAGAGCAGGGCTATGCTGGAGGAGCCAGAGTCTGCAAGCCTCCTCGTGCAATGTCCCCAAGACATGGAGGTGAATAGGGGTGAGGAACAAGGGTGGGCGTGGAGGTGAGCAGGGGTGAGGAACAAGGAGGTGGGGGGCAAGGAGACCAGTCAGGAGGCAACTACAGAACTTTGGTAAGCAAGGACCAGGCATCCTGAATCAGGGTAATGATGGTCAGGCTGGTGACATGTGACTGGATTCTGGCCATATTGGAAAAGTTCTGAGTGTGGTCAAGAAAGAGGTCAAGGAGGACTCCCTGGTCTTCAAATGGCAAGGACTATTAGGTCTCCATACAGATTTCTCTCCTGGACCTCCCACTGCCTCCTAGACTGCCCCGCTCCCAACACCCTGCTCTTCCCAACAGATCCTCCTTCCTAAAGCCAAGTCATCCTAGCAGAGTCACCATCTGTCATCTACATTTACTTGCAAACTTCCTTCATGGATGTACCCTCCTCTCTACACATGGCACCTGAGGTGGATCACCTCTTCAGATGGATGAAGGATGGCAAGTCTCCACACATGCACCTCACTGGCTCTGCACACAGTGGCTGGATCAAGCCTCTGAAGTACGTCTCTGGCTGGGCCCATTCTGCTTCGAGCCCTTCCATGCTCATCTCAGCCACAGGCTGCCCCCCCCCCCCGGCTCTGCAGCTGGCCATGCAAGGGTGTCTGCAACACCATTTAGCATGCTCTGCAACCTGTCTTCTGCACACCCCCAGAGTGGCCACTTCCACCTCTCTCTGTGCTCTGCCAGTAGGCTGCCAGCCTCGTAGGCAGGACCTCATCTCAGACCCCTGTCAGCAAGTGGCACGTCACACTCTTATGTTTCTGGATGAGCCTTTATGGGGACCACCAAGGGGCCATCTAAGTCCTCCAAATACCTCACTCTGGAAAGTGCCTTCCCTCTGCTTACCCACGCCCACCTGACTGCCCCTCTGCCTCTTCTCCCAGAGGACGGATCTCTATACCTCCTACCCTCCAACACACACTGCTGGCCAGGGGCTTTTGGAGCCAAGGCCCACACAGGCAGATATTGGACCATGGCCCCATCTGCTAACCTTATTGGTCAGGGCACAGCTCCTCTTCCTTAGTAACCCACTTCCTGATTCCAGCCCACTTGACAAGAGTGAGCCCTGAGGTTTACATGCTAAGACATGAGGCAGACACAAGGACAAGATACTAAATGCATCTTAAATAAGCAAGTTACACAACACCATGTACACATAATACACATAAGATATTTGCTCCTTCTTTATATTTTGAAACAAATATCAAGTATGAATAACCAGAAACTTGACATAACACTGTCTTGGGCTGGGGTCTCTAAAAGAGTAAAACCGGTGAAATGTATACATATATATATATGTAACTATATGCAAAGAGAGATTTAATTCTAGGAAATGCCTCACAGTGTTGTGGAGGTTGGCAACTGTCAAACCATGGGTCAGGCATCAGGCCAGAGACTTCTCCTGACACAAACATTTGATGAGCTCAAAATCGGCAGGTCAGACAGTGGGCTGCTGGGTCATGGGGCTGCAGGAGCTGATAAATCCTCAAATCTTCAGGTCAGGCAGCAGGCTGCTGGCTCATGTGCCAAGAACTGAAGGTCAGATGATGACGAGTAGGATGCAGGATCAAGAGTGAGCAAGTAAGCTTTGCCAGAATGTCCAAATATATTGGATGCAGGCCACCACCCCCCTCGCCAAGGAAAATGCCTCTTACAACTGATTGGCTGGAGGTGATTACGTTATATTATGGAAAAGCCATCTTTCAATGTCCAGTGTCTTTCAAACTACTGAGAATCATAATCTAATCAAGCTGACACATGCCATTAGCCATCACAGATACCACTGACGGTAACAATCCCGAGTGGGGTATGGGTAGCAGGTGGGAACATATGGATGATGTTCTCAGGACACAAGGATGTTTTTCCAAAATTTCTGCCATCAGTTACAAATGTTATAGAAACGCTGGGCAGCAACTCTCAGCTTCCAGGGAATGCTGGGACTCGTGCGGTCAAACCCTCGGGGTGTCAGCCTCCTGGGGCAGGGCTTGAGGGTGTGTGCATATGTGAGCTGTGAGAGGGAGAATCACTCTTGCAGGGGAGAGGCCAGGTGGGGTGCATCCCCGAGGGACCTCAGGAATCCTGCAGGAAACTGTGCTCTCTGCAGGGTGGAGCCTAGATGTAACGGTGTGTGCATGTACATATGTACAATATGATGTGAACACTACTGGTTCAATACAGAGCACACATATAAAACACACAAAATATATTAAAAAACTGCACAAGGACAAGATGAAATGAACAGTTTTAAACATCTAACTATGATCCCTTCACACTATCATTTGTTGTTTTTAGGTGCTGTCGAGTTGACTCTGACTCCTACCGACTCTATGTACAACAGAACGAAACACTGCCCAGTCCCATGCCAGCCTCACAATTCCTGTTATACTGGAGCCTATCACTGCAGCCACTGTGTCAGTCCATCTCATTGAGGGCATTCCCCTTTTCACCGACCCTCCACTTTACCAAGCATGATATCCTTCTCCAGGGAATGGTCCCTGCTGGTAACATGACCAAAGCAGGTGAGACAAGGTCTGGCCATTCTCACTTTCAATGAGCATTCTGGCTGCACTTCTTCCAGGACAGATTTGTTCGTTTTTCTGGAAGTCCATGGTACTTTCAGTATTCTTCACCAGCGCCACAACTCAACAGCATCAACTATCACTATCACAGCTACTTCTGTTGTTGCTAGGTGCTGTTTAAGTCGGCTCTGACTCGTAGTGCCCCTCTGTACAACAGAACAAAACACGGCCTGGTCATGCGCCGTCCTCACAGTCCTTCCCACGCTGACAGTCACCGCCTAGTGTTTCAGGGTATTCATGTTTGCCCAGTAATATGTCAGTGTTCTACTGCTATTCATAAGGTTTTCACTGGCCAAGTCTTTGAGAAATGGAAGGCCTTTTCCTTTTTCTGAGTCTGTCTTAGTCTGGAAGCTCTGCTGAAACCTGTTCACCATGGGTGACCCTGCTGGTATCTGAAACACCAGTGACACAGCCTCCAGCCTCACACAAGCCACCACCGTTAAGACACAGTGACAGACAAATGGTGGAACTAATTTTTCAGACACGGTGTTTTCTAGGGAACATTTCATCATGAGTGATAAAGATTTACATCTACTTGACATGGTCTTTGTGATCATTTGTCTTGTGGCCAACTTCTCTCAGACTCAACTAGATGCCCTGTGCAGAGCCCCACAGCCCAACAGGCAGAAAGCCTGTCTGGGAACAGCCAGGACCCGGCTGCTTGTGTTCAAGTATTTTGTTCAATCTGCAGTTTCGTTGCAGGGATCTTTATGAGTGCTGTGGAAGCTTTCAAGTATTTACAAAAATAGATGAGAAGAGACAAATTCCTCCTGCAGCTTCGGCAACGGTTTGTGTTCTAAGGTTTGGCATCATGTACTCCTGTTATATAGTGTAATAAGTTAACTAAATTCACGAGGGATAAGAATCAAGCACAGCTCAGAGCTGGTTCCTATGAGGCAGAGGTTGGGTACATCTCCGCTTTCTCACTTCTCCGTTATTTCTGCCACTGGCCGCTCCCCCATGGCACACTCCACTTCCCTGCCACGGCTGTGATTTGTTGCTGCAGCCATACAGAACTCAGAGACCACACTCACAGTCATGAGGTTTATTAGGGAAATCACAGGCTATGACTTGGGATCAGGACCAACTTGGAAGGAACAGGGACAACCTGGAACCAAGTCAGGAACCGCACAGGCCAGGTCTGAAGGGTCCCTGAAGCGGAAAGCACACCTTTCCCTTCTCCAGGCAGAACAGCTTCTGAAGGGGAGTCCTCTCAGCTGCTGTCTGCCATTAGGTCCTTGTGGTAGTTAAGGCTGTGTGTCAGCTTGGCTGGGGCTGATTTTGAGTGGCTGGGCAGCTGGATGTAGTTATTCCCCATGATGAGACTGATCATCAACTCCATGGTGGAATCTATTAGAGCAGCTGAGTAGCTGCCTTAAGGATATGGTCTGTTTCCAGTGAGAAAGGTCTTGAGTGTTTTGGCACATCTGGATCCTGCATTTGGCTGAGTCTCCATCCCAGTGGTCTGCCATGTTGCCTGCCAATCTTGGGACTGTTTCTGGACTTGAACCCGTGGCCTGCCATGTTGCTTGATAATCTTGGGACTGTGCCATTTTTCTTGTCAACCTCGGGTCTGTCAGCCTCAGCAGCCAGCAGCTGCCTGAATCAGGAGAAGCCTCCAGTTCTAGTGGGCCAGGAGCAAGAGGCAGAGCTGAAGCCCAAGGTCGAGGGGCCTTTAA